TTCATCGACTCGCTTCCAATCGAAATAAAAAAACAAAAACTTTTAAAAAAAAAAAAAAAAAAAAAAAAAAAAAAAAAAAAAAAAAAAAAATTATCTTTTAAAATTAAAGTTTTTTATTATACATAAGAGTGAGATACTCTTTTAGACTTTTAGTTATGCTAAACTAAGTTTTAAAAGAGATTATGCCCTTGTTTATCACCCATTATTTTACATTATATCACATAATTTTTTCTACAGTACTCATTTTCAATTATATGTTCTTCATTCAAATAATATTATACGCAAATCAATTTTTTTTGTTCTTTTTTAATCATATATTCTCCATCAGTCTACATTCCATAATACATTTTTCCAAATTAAATGGACTCAAATACTCCCTATATTTTAAGAATTAAACTTGTGGTGCATCGGAGGGTACCGAAGCGTGTACCTAATGGACACGCGGCGACCCCCCACTGGAGGAAGCGCTGTTCCCTCGATGTACTGGTAGCATTACCGATATTTTAAGCTAGTGGGTTTACTTTATAATAAGCCTTTGTTTGATTCTTTTTAAAATTTTAATATATTTTTCTCTACACTCTTTTTAACCACATATTTTTTAATAAAATAATATTACACGTAATTTTTTGACCACATATTGTCTTAAAAATTACTATTTCAAAATACATATTTTTCCAAATTTCTCATTATAATAATTGTCAAACAGGGCTAATTGTATTGATAAACAATAAATTTCAAGATTCTACTTTTAGCCCTCGTTTGATTCTATTTTTTGGTCACAAAAATGAAAAATATAATCGTTATCCATCACATCAAGCCATCATATTTGACTTTCTATCTCTTTCTATCTCTTATGTGGATCTCATAACAACTATGTTTTTTATTCTCATTCTTATAAAAATGGATATCAAATGGGACCTTAATTTTTTTAAATATATTTGAATTTGTTAATTGATTATTGACGTATAAAAACTATTTTGAATAAAAAATGAAGGCAATTAAAAAGTATTTTTTGAAAAATAAAACGGAGTGCGAAAATAGAGAAGATGCTCTTTATTTTTGATAAATAGGGAAGTGTTTTAGATTCTTTTATTCACTTTGCCTCCTTTCACTGAGCTGATAAAAACAATTATCAAATCTAACGGAGTACGGAGGCAGTCACAGGTGGAAATTCCAGCCTCTAGGCAGTCCAATGATCAGTAGCTCGGAGGTTCAGCGTAAACTACTGGCAAGAAATGCCAGCAGGACGGTCAATCGTCACGATTTTTCCGAGGATTTTGTGTTCGGAACTGCAACATCGGCTTATCAGGTAGGTATTTTCTGATTTCCCCCAATATGTGGCTACTATTTTCCAATTCAAATTAGCTTTGAAGTATTGTGTTGGTCGGAGTAACTCGGAGGCGGGCTTTGTACATAAATATTGAAGATAATTTATATGTTAAGCAATATGTTCAGCGTGTTGGGTGTATCCTGAGCATTTCATGTAAGGATATGGAGAATTGAATTGAATTTTACTTCACCTGGAACAAATTGAATTAATTGTCCCAATGGTTACTGAATTTAGCTCCGTGTNACCTTTGGAAAAAGTCAAGGAAATGCATTGATCTATTAAGGCCCCGTTTGGTAATCATTTTTTTCAAAATGATTTTTTCTCTCTCTTCTTTTCAACCACATTCTTTATTAAAATAATATTACACGAAGATAAAAATTTTTTCCTTATTTTTCAACCACACATTTCAAATCAATTTACTATTCTAAAATGCATTTTTACATAAAAATGACTATCAAACACCCCCTAAGCTTTTCCCATATCCCGGTAGCAACATAGATTGAAACACAAGACAAGCATAAACAACCAAACACATATTGAAGTAGTATTAGCCCTTGTTTGAGCCCAATTCTTTTCAAAAAAATACATTCTTAAACAGTGTTTTAATATCTTTTCAACCACACATTCTTTAATAAAATTATATTACACGCAAATTCAAAATTTTTATTTTTTATTTTTTAACCATACATTTCCCATCAATATACTATTCAAAAATTCATTTCCCCCCCAAAATGGGGCTCAAACAAGGGCTTATACTATTAGGCATTTGCATTGAAAAATTAAAGAAAAGGAATGTAATTATTTTCTTGAGATCTTTTGTTGTAAAAATCATTCTTTAAATGCTTCTAATGCAACATGCATTTGTATATACAAGCAGTTAGGCATACATATATGCATTGACTCACTATTGCTTATAGGCTTGTGCTTGTTTAATTTATCCATCTTATGGTATATTTTAGCACGAAGGTGCCACTGCAGAAGATGGTAGGGGCCCGAGTATATGGGATACTTTCACACTGAAGACACGCGGTGGGTCTCACACTCTCTGTTTCATTGTTGTCATTACATGTCAATTGCTAAATGTGTTTGTACAAGTGGCAGGGAGAGTGAAGGACAATAGTAATGCAAATGTATCTGTTGACACGTATCATCGGTACAAGGTACTGTTGTTCTTAACTGATAAATTTTATGTAATAGTTCACACATCACAAAGTAATCGAGTAAGATATTGAGCGGACTATCAATTGTGAAATGTCCAAAAATTAATGAAATCTCGTATTTAACCTTCTTCCTTTGAAGTAAGTTTATAATGTACGCTATAGATACGTTAATGTAACAAGTTATTTAGTTTAAGGTTAGATTTGTCTTTTATTATTTGTACTATATAAACTCTTGTATCCCACATATTTGACCTAAGTTTGGAGGCAGTAAAAGCGGTTCCTTCTTCCTCTCCATTCTTCATTAGTTTGTTCTTCTCTTTTGTTTCTTTATCATATTGGTTTGTTGTTTTCTACGTGGTATCAGAGCGGGTATAATTTTGGGTTAAATTTTCGAGCCTCAGATCTCCGGCGAGCGGCCTTGTGTCGCTCGTTTGGTGGTCAAAATCTGTTCATTTTCGGCGGTTAAAATTTGTTCGTTCTTTGTGGTTAAAAAGAATTTGCTGTATGGTTTGTTTGTTTTGGTAGAGTTTGGGATCTAGTGATATTTTGCTGTTGAGGGTCATTTTGGAAATCAATTTGGTTTGCTAATGTTGAGGTGAGCGGTGTGGTGGCCGACCATGGTGAAGCCCGGCGTTTGATGGCAGTTTTTCGAAGTTGGCTTGGTGTGGTGAGAGCATTGACTAGAAACTGAAGGAACTGGAGAAGATGCTCTTTGGAAGTTGGCGAATCCATGCTTCAGTTGCTTGAGAATCGTTTCTTTTGAGGGATTGTTCGCCGTTAAATTGGGGGCGAATGTTGTGAGGCTAAAAGGCGGGGATCCGTTGATTTTATTTATTTATTTTTTTTGGAAGGGGGGAGAGGAGATGAACTTTCTGCAGCAGCAAGGAATTGAAGTTAAATTCATTCCAGGTACAACAGCTGCTTTTGGAATAGCTTCAGAACTTGGGATTCCATTGACGCACAGTGGCAGTTGCCATAGGCCTTTGTGATGGGGGATTTTTCTATTTGGCCTATTACTATTCATTTTCATGGAAAAGTTTATATTGTCCTTAATGAAATGATTCTTTCTATATTACAACATAAATCCCAATCTTTTAAGTCTATATCCCACGCTGGGCTGGTCGAACTCTATAAAGTTTAAATTCCCTTGGAATTTTTAATAAATGTGAGCAAGGTGTTTATAACATTATCATATAATTCTTTTATTTATAATATTGAAATTGTTGTATAAAGTCATCTCCTAATAATATATCACATTTTAATTTATCATATTTATATACTTTATTTATTGTAACTTGTTTACTTCCAATAATTATATTAACTTTATCAGCATTATTTATTATCTGGGTACTTTCTCCTGTAACTCCAGTTATTTTTATATTACTATTATTATTCCATGATTTTATTAGAAAACTTTTAAATATTGTTATATCACTTCTTGTGTTTATTAAAGCACAAGTTGTTATGTTTGTTTCTATAATAGTAACTTGTATATATACAGCTAATGAAAAACTTATTTGATTATTCATTTAATTCTTTTTGCATAATATAGTTTGTCCATTATGTACTATGTATAATCCTTCTCTTTTTATACTATAATCTTCTAATCCATTTAAAAAACTTATTCCTAAAAGTATATGAGGGTTTATATCCATATTTTTATCTATATAGCATGGTACCAAAAGATTTATTTCTCCTATTTTTATATGTACTTTAACTTCTAAATTTGTAATATGTATTTGACCATCAAAATTTACATACCTATATGGTTCAGTTTTATGAGTTAATAATCCTTTATTTCAGGTTTATTTCTTATTATTCTAACTTCATATTCTTGTGGAATTAAGCTTATTTGTTTATTTGGTTAAATTATTTTACTAATATCCTTACATTCTTTATGTACTTCAATATATGATTTATTAGAATAAATATTTTCATAATTAGAATTAGTAAATGTATATAAAGCTAATATATGATTTATTAGAATAAATATTTTCATAATTAGAATTAGTAAATGTATATAAAGCTTTATATTCTACAGTAATAATTTGATTACCTGGTTGCATGATATTATATCTATGTAGCTTAAAATGCAATCCTAAAATTTCATTAAAGTTTCTATCTTTCAATGATACACAATATTTTGGGTATCATGTAAATATTATTTTTTGATATGCTAAATTTCCTTCTATTGTTCTTAAATGACTATCTTTTAAATTTATTATTCTTTCATAATTTTAGGTTATAGTTAATGGTGAGTCTATTCCTTCTCCGAATAATGATTTAAACATTATTTGTATTTCTGTTAAAGAAACATATTGAATTTTTTTCACTTTATTTTTTATTAATCTTCATTAATAGTTCATCAACCCTATTTTTTGTTAAAAGATTTAATTTATGATTTCCATAAGTTGTTCTTACGTCTATAATTTTTTCAATTTTATGATATTCATTTATTGCTATCCTTTCGCTTTTCCAAATTTTATCTAAAACTTTCCATTTTCCTATTTTTAAGTCCAAAGATAATTTTTGCATTTTCCTAAATTTATTATTATCAAAAGTGACTTTTAATCCATAACCTTTTATTTCTTCATATTCTTGTATATTTATATTATTATTTTCCATTTCCTCTATTTCTTTATTCAGATCCTGATTGATCACTCTCTGTTTCACTTATATATACTTCTTGATTATAATATTGTTCAATATCTGATATTTCACTTAATTCATATTTTATTTCTAAATATTCTCTTTGTAATATTTTAATTTTCTTTTTATTACAATAAGGACTTATGTGATCTATTTCCCCACAATTTCAACATTTACACTGGCTTTTATTTTTCTGTTGATCATATGTGATATTGTTTCTTTTGTAATATCTTCTTCTAGATTTTATATATTTTTTTATTAAAATTTCTAATTTTTTAAAACTTTTTATTTTTGTATTTTCTTCTGTTAACCCTTATTTCAGGATTACATTCCCATTGTATAGGGTTTTCCATATTTTCAGAACATATTTTAATTAATTTTCCTGATTTTTTCAATAATTATCGTTGTTGACATATATATGCAAGTCTTTCAAATAAAAAAATTATTCTTGAACCTAAAGTTCTAGGTATTCCAACATTATCTCTAACATATTTTTTAAATTCTATTTTTAAATATATTTCCTATGAACATGATAATTTATTATAGTACATGTCTTAGTATACTTCTTAGTTTTCATTACTATAAAATTGAACATAATAATAATTTCCAAATTCACAAGTATATTCTTTAATTTTACACATATCACACACATATTGTTAAATTTATTAATTTAATTCTAACATTATTTTTTTCTCTTATTGCTTCTCCTTCAACATTTTTTAGCCAATTTTCTTCCAAAAATTCATCAAAAATATATTCTACTAACTTTTCTATATCTTGTCTATCTGATTTTATTATTTCTGTTTGTACATTTTTTTTTATTAATGTCTTTGTATCATTACTTATTCCTTCCCACCAATTTCTAACATCTCTTTCAAAGGATGCTATTAAGAAATCTATCATTCTTTCAGTATTTTCCCATGTGTCATCTTTATTAAATAAAAAGAATAATATCATTGAATCTGTCCAAGTTAATAAGGCTTTTTTCGTATTTATTTTACAATTTAAATCTAATTTTGTTCCTCCATGATTAATAGGTTTAACATAATTATCATTTAATTCAAACCGATCTCTATATTTATTTCTTTTAGATGGTTGTCTATCTCTTATTTTATCATAAAATTGTCTATATGATTTGTTATATAGATATGCATAACTTTCATCTGATTTCTTTAATTATTGTTTAGAGGTTCCTATTGGATTTTGTCTTCCTCCAGTATTCATTAAAACTTGGTATTCACTTATATCACTTAAACTTAACTGATCAAAATTTTTTATAAGTAAGTCTAATTCCTCATTCATCTTGATTTTCTTCTATTTTTAATTTTTCTAATATTTTTTCTCTAGATCCTTCTTCTTCTAATATTTTAGGTAATATATTTTTTCTAAATTCATTATCCATACTTTCTGTTTCTATTAGTATATTTTCTTTCTCAATATGTTTCTTTCCTATTCAGATCATTTCTTTTTCTATTAATTTTTTATCTATTTTCTTTTCTTTATTTTTATTATTTTCTTTTATTTCTCTAATTTCAATTTTTAATATATTTATATTGTTTCTTGTTTCTTTTACTTCATTTCTTAAATCTTGTATATCATTTATCCACATTTTCATTAATGACTTTAATTCTTCCATATATTCACTTATTGACATATTAAATTTTTCTGGTCATCTTTCTAACATATAAGTCAATTTACATCTTTTATCTTCTTTTTTATCTATTATTATTCCAAATCTTCTATTAGCTATATCTGTATTTACCGATTCTTTTTTTACTATATTAAAATATTTACTCTCAAATCTTAATCTTTTATATTTTAATTTTATTAATTGTCTTTTATTCGATACTCTTATTTTTTCTGGTATTAACATTATATCTTGTATTTTTTCTTATATCTTTTTCATTTTTATAAGTAATTTATTCAATTTCAAATCTGTATTATTATTTACACTCATGCTTCTCTTTATAATATAGATTAATTTCTTCATCTTCATATTCTTTAATAATTTTTTCATATATATATATATATATATATATGTATGTATGTATGTATGTATGTATGTATGTATTTCTTTTATTACTTCTATTATTAATTTTTCTAATATTTGTTTTTTTATTTCGTTGGGTAATTCTTCAGCTATTGTTAATGTTATTATTTTTAATTTATTAGAAATAGGTTTTAAAAAATATATAACTTCCTCTTCCCTCATCTAATTTATAATAATTATCTAATTTTCTTATTTTAATTTCCATGATCTCTATGGGGCTCTGATACCAATTAGGGGGTGCTACTATGAACGAACGAAAATCTAATAAATCTGTAAACAATACATTTATCAAAATTAAACAATAAATCTATCAAAATTCAAGTAATATTTAATTTTAAAGGCTAAAATGGAAGATTTCTATATTATATTAACTTGTTATGCATATTCAAAAGGAGGTGTATTATAGGTATCTAAATTAGTCAAAGGTCATTTTGAAAAAATGGCCTCTTTATTTAGGTCATATCCATGCAAGGGCTCATGGTTAGGGAATTTAATTGGGCTCATGTTTGTTTGATTGGGTTGAAATATTTTATGGGTAATGGGTTTTGGGTCTTGAAGTATGTTGAAATTGGGTTCAGTTGGAGTGGACTGATTTTTAACTGGACTCTGATTGTGGGTTTGTTTTTATTGTGGATTGTTAGTTTACGTCGGCTAGCTGGGTTGATGGGTTTGCCGAATTGGACCTAAGTAGCGGGCTGGTTAGTGTATGGGTAGATTTGCCTTTTATTATTGGTACTATATAAACTCTTGTATCCCACATATTTGACCTAAGTTTGGATGCAGTAAGAACGGTTCCTTCTTCCTCTCCATTCTTCATCAGTTTGTTCTTCTTCTCTTTTGTTTGTTTATTATATTGCTTTGTTGTTTTCTTCAAGATACAAGTGAAATTTTACTCAAGTTGGTTCAGCCAATTTTTCCAAATTACTGTTATATTATTTCATGTGGAGCAGTTATGAGACTGCTTGTATAAAGTTCGTTCAGCATGAAATGTTTATTCATTTTTAACATGTTGCAGGAGGATGTGAAGTTGATGAAGAAAATAGGTTTAAATGCCTATAGATTTTCAATTTCATGGTCTAGAGTACTGCCAGGTACAGTTGTCGTAAAGTTTGATAGAGAGAAATTAGGCGCATTGTTTTTTGATAAAGAAATCTCGACGGTTGTTTTTACACAATTGACTGTATAAGTTTGTCAAGAAATAGTTCCCTACCACACTGAATATGTAAGAGTATTAATTTTTCTCCGACATTCTGATATGTTTTAATAAGGTGAAAAGACGGAAATTATTATTCTAATTTTATTTCAAATTGGCATTTTTAGGTGGAAGCTTAGATGCTGGCGTGAACAAACAAGGCATCAAGTACTACAATAATCTCATAGACACGCTACTGGCCCATGGTTAGATTCCAATTACCAATCTGTATTTCCTTTATTCACTTCACAGTGAGATTTCAGAATTATAAGTTTCTAAATTTACTTACTTAGACGTTATCACATGGATGCAGGCATTGAGCCATATGTGACTCTCTTTCATTGGGATCTTCCCCAAGCCTTAGAATATGAGTATGGTGGCTTCGTATCCCCTCAAATCATGTAAGTTCAATAATTTATCTCTAAAATTCATTCAACCTATGACCATTACTTTTTCCTACATTGTGTTAACACCACTTTTATTTTGCTTCCTGTTCAAAGCTAATAACTAAAATGACCAAGCTTTCCTCTTGCATCTATAACACATATTCCTTAAATAATGATATTTAGTTTATATCAATGGGACAATCTCTTTGGGAGTTAAAAAAGATGTCTGTTTGACAGCAAAGATTTTTGTGCGTTCGCGAGTCTCTGCTTTTGGGAATTCGGTGATCGGGTAAAGCATTGGATTACACTCAATGATCCATGGACCTTCTGTTTTGGAGGATATGTAATGGGTACAATGGCACCTTGGCGAGGTTCTTCTTCGGCAGGGCATGTAAAAGGTAGCATTGCTTTTCAAAGACATACTCATGGCTGTGCATGCATTTGCCACAACGGGAATCCAGGCACAGAACCATATTTGGTAGCACACAATATGCTCCTTGCTCATGCAGCAGCAGTTGATTTGTACAAAGAAAAATTTCAGGTTAGAATTCATGTTTAATCATCATGTTCAAGTAATTTTACATCTGTGTGTGTTAGGATTTCTAAGATTTTTGCAAAAATATTGTTTGTGAACGTAAACTTTATAGCAACTTCAAGAAGGGAAGATAGGGATCACGCTTTTCTCAAAATGGTTTGAGCCGCTGTATGACAATGAGCTCGATGAAGAAGCTGCCACAAGAGCATTTGATTTTATGTTAGGATGGTAAGACTATCTACCTATTTCTAAAATAAATATCAGCCACTCGTACAAGAATGGTGGGAATATTATTTTAGATCTTTTTCTTTCATTCGCCCTTTCTTGTCGAGGCCAAATTGATTACGTCATTTGGTTATACTTCATATTTGCACTTCCATTATGTTTTATTGCTATAGCTGTTTCTCTCTATGAACTAAGAAAGAAAACGTGAAACCAATTACACACGAATAAGAAATTTATATCCTTGAAGCACCAAACAATATATCACATATGGAAATAAAATCCCCAAGATTTATGCGGTCTGATCTATTGATATAGGTCGAGGTTGAATCTGAAACATGAAAGAGTGTATTGATGTTTTTGGTTCCAATATAGTTCCGACAATTCGTGGGCATGCTGCTTACTTAAACCCCCACTCTGTGAGACCAGGGCTTGGCCCAACCATCAACTGACATGATGCCAAAACTACGGGTGATAATGCTTACTCAGGAAAATTGCATACTTGCACATTGTGGGTTAACAAATAAAAGCTATCCCCTGTTCAAAATTGAGGTTAGATAATTGGACAAGGTAATAAATCTGGGGAGGATACAAAAAAGGTAAAATATGTTCAAAGCTCAGTTAAGCTAAATATGCTCATGAAGAAAATGATGAATAATTCTAGTTAGGTTAAGAGTAGTATCTTTTTCTCCTTGTATTATTTTTTGTTCTATATTGACTTTGTTGACAATTTGTCCATCCTTGGTGCATATCATGTAAACAAATTTTAATTATGATCCTTAGAGATCATCGGTGGAATGAGAATCATTAGCGGTTATACCTTTTTGTTGACATAAATAGGTTGACTTATACGTGAATCTATCTTGAATTGGAAATTTCTTACGTCTTCATATTATTTCTTGGATCCCTTGATTTAAGAGTTTAAACTATTAAATAAGGTTGCTCCTCACGTGTAGGCAGTGTTCATTTTTGTCGTCACATTAAAACACAATTGGTTAAATGGATGGCCGTGAGACTTTTGAAATTCTGGACCTCTGCTTTGATATCATGTTGGACTACTCGATCTAACATTTTAAGCTGTTAGATGTGACACATATATATAATTTATATATTGTTCAAAATTATCCATTTTATTAATTGATGTTCTTGTTCCACTTACAAGGGTTTTTATATCATTTAACCACAATTCAAAACCCTTTACGTATATCCTTTAATGTTCTTTTTTAGTTTAAATTTTTGCATTTTTCATAACTTCTGTACTTTGACCTACTTTATTAGCGGACCTTATGTATTAGTAAATGTTTTTTTTCCTTGATTTTCTTTTTGATATTAACAATAAAAATGACTTGTTTTTAAGTTTTCCATTTCTTTTTAATGAAACACAATGATATATGTTATTTGTTCACTTGTGGGATAGTAGTAATTGGATTTTTGAAAATACAAAGAGTGTAGTTATACCTACAGTTTGTATTTTGTAACTCAATATGTTATCCGTTGATGCTTATGAAACATTATTCCTCAATTTGTAATTTTTGAAAACACGGTATGTGAACCTTTAATTTCACCTAATATGAAAATTGTAATTTGCAAATTTCTCTCAGCTTTATTTTAAATTTTGTTTTACCATGTTAACTGGGGCTGAACGAAGATCAAATGTGTATAATTGCCAAACGGATATTTAATGCTTAAAATCCTTGAGGAATCCCCTCTTATGAACTTATTTTGCAAAGATTGAAATTGATCGACAACTTAACGACTGGAAACAGTAAAAATTTATAGATATTATCTGGTTGTACAACATTCAGTTGTGGTTAGAGAATATTGTTCAAAATTCCACAATCAGTTAGATTTCGTTTTTTTCTTTTAACCTTGGTTGTTTGATCTACTTTATAAATATAAATTTTAAATGAAACAAAAATATGAGAGTTTGTTAGGCCTCCCATCCACTTCACCTATTCTAGAAGACTCAAGAAGGGAGGAGAATCATCTGGAAAGAAGGTTAACCAAATTCTGTTTAGGAGCATGTGGGGAGGGGAATAAGTTTGTTAAAAATGGGTTATAAATAGGGGGCTAAAGATAGGAGATAGTCAGGCAATTTGAGAAGTAAAGTAGTTTGGTTTCAATTCTTGTAATCTTGCTTTTTTTTGCTGATTAATAGAATTCTTCATTTCATTTAGAAGCTTTTTATCAAATTGGTATCAAAGCACCAAAATCTTGATGGCCCAAAAGAAAACCAATGGCAGTGTAGAAGCAATGGAGAAAGAAATCGAAGAATTGAAGGGCGAGATGCGGCAACTTCCAGGTTTAGCAAAATCAGTAGAACAGTTAACACAAAGCATGGCCATGGTACTGCAATCCATGGAGGAAACTAGGAGGACAGTGGTAACTACGGCAAATCCAAAAGCTGGAAAAAGGTAGAAATATGGAGAAGGACGGATCCAACAATGTTACTGAAGTATCACTGCCACCAAGTAACCCTCTGGCAATCAAACGTGAACAACGCAGCCTGGGTCATGGCAAATGGACAGAGGGATGAGCGAGGCGAGTTCCGGTGGAAGTTTGGACGGGAGTGAGAATTGGCGAAGCATTCATAAACTCGAGATGCCCATCTTCAACAGAGCAGACCTAGATGGGTGGTTATTCAGGGCCGAAAGATATTTTGACATTAATGGATTAATCGAGTAGGAGAAACTGGGGGCGATAGGGGTGAGCCTCGACGGTGACGCACTTTCGTAGCTTCAGTGGACGAGAGGCCTAACAGAGTTTAAAATATACCCACCAAAAACTGTGGAGCATGAAGGTAGAAATGGCTTTCATGGGCAAATTGATGGTGAGAAGCCCATCATGAAACCTCTTAGCCAATAAAGATATCAACAAATTTTCACTAGGGGAAAAGCGTTGGAGGACTAAGTGAGGATTATTTTCTTGGACTTCTAGGTTAAGGAAGTTATCCAAATTGTTTCCCGGTAGATCTGATGGCGTATTGTTTTCCATGACTTTTATGTTACCGTCCGGAGTATTCTGTAACAGATTATCAAAAAATGCATCCTCTTCGATATCACTAAGCTAAGCTTGGTCTTGGTTGGGGTTGAAGTCAGGGTCAAGGAGGTTATCCAAGTTGTTTCATGGCAAAACCAGCGGCTGTTTCAGTAGTCGAACCGGTGGTGGAACAGGCGGCGGTACCTGTGGCTGTTGGTAGAAGGGGTTAGCAACCAGCAAGTAAGAGCTATTGATAACTAATATCTACGCTGGTTGGTTATTCATATTATGGCCAAAAAGCTTTTCAAGAGATCTGGAAGATGAAAATGGAGCTTTGATTATTTATGTGAAATGAAAAGGAGTGGTGTAGAAGAGATGGATATGGTATAGCTACTATTTTCTTTTCATTTTCAGGAAGATGGAAATGAAGTTGTATTAGTAATGTGAGATGAAAATGATTGAGAGAGGAGATGAAAATGGGCTTAGCTACTGTTTCCAAAAGAAGTGAAGGCAGAGGAGATAGCAAAAATGGGTTTAAGCTACTGCGTTTCTTTCAATTTCAGAAAGATGGTAATGGGGTGTAAATTTCAAATAAATAGTTTGGGGACTTGTTTGCTAATTAGTGGATAGGTTGATGACTCGTTCGTTATGCCTTCACTTCTTTTGAAAACAGTAGCTAGACCCATTTACATCTCCTCTCTCCCAATTCTTTTCATCTTACATTACTAATACAACTCCATTTCTATCTTCTTGAAAATGAAAAGAAAACAGTAGCCATACCATATCCATCTCCTCTACCCCACTCTTTTTCATTTCACATAAATAATCAAAGCTCAATTTTCATCTTCCAGATCTCTTGAAAAGCTTTTTGGCCATAATATGGATAACCAACCTGCGTGGATGTTAGTTATCAATAGCCTTTACCTGTTGGTTGCCAACCCCTTCTACTAACAGCCACAGGTACCGCTGCCAGTTCCACCACCGGTTCAGCCACCGAAACAAGAAACAATTTGGATAACCTCCTTGACCCTGACTTCAACCCCAACCAAGACCAAGCTTGGCTTAGTGATATGGAAGATGATGCATTTTTTGATAATCTGTTATAGAATGTTCCGGATGGTAACGTAAAAGTCATGAAAAATAATCCGCCGTCAGATCTACTGGGAAACAACTTGGATAACTTTCTTGACCTAGAAGTCAAGGAAAATAATCCCCACCTAGTCCTCCAACGCTTTTTCCCTAATAAAAATCTGTTGATATCTTTATTGGCTAGGCGGCTTCATGATGGGCCTTTTCACCATCAGTTTGTTCATGAAGTCATTTCTATCTTCATGCTTCACAGTTTTTGGCGGGTATATTTTAAACTCTCATATTTTTCTTTTAACCATGGTAAATTTTTGTTTCAACATGCTACTTTAACCTTGCAAGTTACTTTTATGGTACTCAAGTAAAAATCACTTATTTGTAAGTTCTCCTATTGTCTTTAATGGAAGCATAACTTATTATGAGCATGTTTGGTAGAGATTTTAATCCAATTAAAATCAATTTTTTGACCGTTATTTTACTATTCCAGTCGTCATTTTTGAATTCTTCTCTCACAGTTATGATTCACTTTACCTCTAAAGGTCAAAAAATCAATTAACAAAGTCCCTACCAAACAAGCACTATGCTGTTTGTGAATGATTATCAAACTGTAGTATATAAATTGGATTTTCTGGAAATATAGTATGTACAGTGTAACTATGCCTATATCCAGTGTGTGTTTTGTGATGCAGATCCAATAATTTACTTGTTAAGGCATATGAAACAATACGTAAACTGTAATTTCTGAAAAGATGATATTTGAAGTTTAATTACTCCCTATAGAAAGAGTATATTATGCGAAGTTCTCTTTCCTTCACTGTATAATTAGATTAAACATGATTAGTGGGGGCGTCATGAAGATTAGTTGTGTGTAATTGCCAGACAAAAAGGAAATGCATAGTTAAAATCTTAAGAAATGCATTCTTATTAATTTATTTCCTAAGAGAAATTGATCGACAACTTAACAAAACTGAAACAATAAAAATTAATAGTCATGTGGTGCTGAAACATTCAACTGCTGTTGGAAAATGGTTTTCTTTTTATTATCATTTGATATATATATTTATAAAGAACTGTCCCCCCTTAATATTAAATGGCATTCATCTGGTTTTTTTTTTTTTTTTACCTAGGTTGTATGTATCAGACAAGGCTGAGATTCTAACAAGATTTAGGAATGTCTCTACTTGTGTACGTGAGAGAGAGAGAGAGAGAGAGATCTTTGGCATATGATGATTGTGGTGGTGGTGGTTAGCTGGAAAGATCATGGGTATTGTTTGGGAATGGGATTAAGCTTGGATGATTGTTCTTAGGAATTAAGTTTGCGAAGCATGGAAATTGGACTTGGAAACTGGAATGCCAGTTGTTTCTCGTCTGTCTCTTCTTACCAAATGCAAATAGGCTTATGCTATCTGTTGTTTCACTGTTCACCTCCTCACAAGATTTTTAGAATGATAATTCTTAACTTTGTCGTTACCTTTTCCTTTTATGTTTTTATGTTTCTGGAACCATTAACATCTGGGGAGTATCCAGAAAGTATGATTAAACTGGTTGGATCTCGTCTTCCCTTATTTTCAACAGAAGACTCAAAGCTGGTTAAAGGATCCTATGATTTTTTAGGATTGAAATATTACACAGCTACTTATGTGAAAAGTGAATCTAACTCACATGGTCTAGAAGTAAGCTACACTACGGATCCCCAAGTTACATACACAAGTAAGTGCATCAAGAAAGTTTCCGCATAGACTTACAATTTTTATTTATTTATTTATTTGTTTATTTTTGTGAGAATACACATTGAAGCGGATGCACTCTTTGAATTTTTGGTAGGTAAAGAAGTACCAATTGGTCCAAAGGTATTTCCCAAACATACTGACATGCGCCCTAAAATTTATGCATTATACCTTTTATTTATTACAGTAATTTCAAAATTGTACAGTAGTGTAGATTTCTCGTACTCTAGAAGACAATAATCAATGAATTACTACCACATTAACATTTTCAATGCATGCAATAATTCTCTGTTATTAATTATTTACTACTTCAATATTCAGGCTGCTTCAGACTGGTTATACATTTATCCACAAGGGATTTTCAAGCTCCTAGTTTATATAAAGGATGTATATAATGTTCCCCTTATTTACATCGCAGAGAATGGTGAGGATCCTACCTGTTAGCCTTTTTCTCATTGATGTTGAATTTTTCTATGGAGATTGAACATGAGACATTTTTATGTGATTTGATATTAAAAAGTTCCTATTATGTTGCACAGGGGTGGATGAAATGAACAATACGAGTCTCACAGTTTCTGAGTCTCGGGTGGATGACATAAGAATTAAGTATCACCAGGATCATCTATTATATATTCGATATGCAATTATGTAAGTGCTCTACCTAAACTCCTCCAGTGTGTGTGGTGTAGTCATTCACTGTAAATTTGAAACGAGTAACTTACTACCTGTAGTTTTACATTACCACGATACACATGCTAAATATGAAAAACATTATTGTCTACGAGTTTCAGGGCTGGTGTAAACGTAAAGGGTTACTTCATTTGGTCACTGTTTGATGGTTTTGAATGGAGTCAGGGATACACGGTTCGATTTGGCATTTTTCATGTGAACTTCAAAGACGATTTAGCTAGATTCCCGAAGAACTCAGCTCTATGGTTGATGAACTTTCTTAACAGAAAACTTGCTAAAGGTCGGATGAAGAGACAGATTGAAGGCCGCGAAGAACACAATCCCGCGAAAAGGCTAAGAACTCGTTGAGTTCAAATCTGTTATTTTAGTACCTTTTACTTGCTTTTTTGCCGACATTTTTTCACCTCGTTTCTAGTTTCTTTAAATGGAGCATAATGGTGATGCAAATTGGAGCTATGATTGGAAATATTTATGTATTATGCAGATTACATATTGTAAATTTCTATTTGTTGGATTATTTATTTGCTCTTTTCAATCATGCTACACATTCAAGCTCAAATTCAGAAGAAACACGTGTCGATTCATAATTGGACAGTTTGAAAATTTAAAACAAAAACATCAACTCATTTTTTAATACATCAATTTGTCTCTTTGCTCCCTATTTTTAAGCCTGATTAAGTGGCTTTATTGTTGCTCCTCTACCTTTCCCATCCATTAATTTGCATTGGACTTTTAATCATTTTCAAACGCAAATCTAAACTTCGATCTAGCCAAATAAATAATGCGTGATAGAATGGAAGCCTGCACCTTTCCGAACTTGTCTCAGATAATTTGAAGAGGAAAGGCGTTTTAAAATATCTCTCTGGAGTTTGGAGGAGCAACCATTTTCCCATTTTAAGGGATAAATTTCATATCAAAAGATTATTAATCCCTTGTTTGACTCCTTTTAAAACTAAACAATTTATTTCTAATACTTATTGTTAACCATACATTCATATAATTAAATATTGTCATGTAAACTTATTTATTTATTTTTTCACCTTTTAATTATGCATTTTTCAAAAAAATCATTATTCTAAAAATCATTTTTACATAATAATGGCCATCAAATAGGGGCTATATAAAAAAACTAACATGATGTTTTGAACTTTTTCTCTTATAGTTGATATTTTATAATGGAACCTTAAGTTTAATATATTATTAGAGTCTATTAAGTTCAAAATAACAATTTTAACTGATAAAAGATTTAAAAAATGCATGTGAAATCTTAGGATTGACCAGTTCAAGGGTACGTTGGGAAGGATTCCACATTGAAAGATCATAAAATAAACAACTTAACAACATCGACTACTTTTAAAATGAAACCACGAATTTTAATACTCTTCTCATGATAGAGGTGGGGGGAAGGGGGAATTGTAGGGAAATAAAGTATTCTCTTGCACAAACTAACACGATCTTTCTGATGGTCTCTGTTTTCACTCTTAAGCTCAATGGTTCTCACTAAAACATAAATCTTTGTTTTACTTCACTTGAACAGAAAAAGAAAATTTGTAAATTGGTGAAATCGTTGTATGGTTTAAAATAAGCACTAAAAAAATGGAATAAAAAATTCGACAATGCTATCATATATAGCAAGTGGATTTAAAATCAAAGAATGCGATATATGTGTTAATATTAAAGATATTGAGAATGAAATGATATTTTGTATCTATACGTTGATAATGTGCTCAATGTTGTAGTAATGATAGGACGACCAAATGTACTAAAGAGATATTGAATTCAAGATTTGACATGAAAAATATAGGACTGGTCAACATTATCTTAGGAATAAAGATATTTAGAATATCAGATGGGCTTGTTTAAAATTAGTCACATTATGTTGACAATATTTCCGAAAAAGTTAGTAAAGATGACTCTGATGTTGCCTTAACATCACATAAGTGTACATATATCTAATAATAAAGGAGAAAGTATTTCTCAAATAGAGTACTCTAAGGTGATTGGTAATCTAATCTACTTAATGAGTTGTATAAAACTTGATATTGCTTATGCAGTACCTGGAGCTGACCATTGGTAGGCAACTATGAAAGTATTGAGGTACTTATAACATACCCACAACTATGAACTACACTATACAAGATATAAAGCTATACTATAAGGATATAGTGAAAAAAATGGATATTTGACATAAAAGACTTAAGTTCTACTAGTGGATACGTCTTCACACTAGGAGGTACAGCTGTGTAACAATCCGACCTCTGTACACAAGTCGCTAACTTAAGTGCTATCTATTTGAGAGAGTCTAAACCTATCTTACCTTTCACGAATTTCAATTGTGTCCTCAAAATTCGAACACATGACCTTCTCTCGGAAGAGATTTCAGTTGAATCCTAGTACGTATTGTTTGCTCTAGGAGAGCCTAAGTTCAATTTATCCCTCACAAATTTCCATCACATCTCTAGTATTCGGACTCAACTTAATATGTTCGAATTCATCTTAAGTCTCCCTTGAAGGGAGGTTATGAGTTCAAATCCTAAGGAATCAATAGAAATTCGAGAGGGGTAAGATGAGTTTAGGCTCTCGCGGATAGTACATAAGTTAACTTCTTAAGCAAAGAAGCTTTGTCGTTCCAAACTTTATCTTGAAAATATATTGTTATAGCCAGATCCACAATTGAATTTGAATTTATTACACTGGACAAATGTCAAGAAGAAGCAGAATAGCTATATCATTTCTTAGAGGATGTTCCAAGGTGGTCAAAGTCTGTACTTGTAATATGCATACATTGTGATAGTCAATTTACAATTGGCACGACACATAGCAACATGTATAATGATAAGTAAAGATATATTTGTTGGAGACATTATAGTATTAGACAACTAATCTTTAATGGAATTATCTCTACTGACTATGTGAGGTCAAAGGATAATATTGTAGATTTGCTAAACAACAAGTTAAATAGAGAGTTAGTTAAGAAATCATCTAGGAAAATGAGACTAAAACCCATGAAAGAATAGATCGATACAATGGAAATCCAACATACTTGACGGGAATCCCAAGATCTAAATTCAAAGAGATAACCTAATTTTAAAGATCGGGCTGGATTGCTATGGGGACTCATTCCAATCTTCTTCTTTTTTTCTTTTATGTAATGAAAACCGTGATACCCGTAAGGAAAAAGGATGAGCTAAGTTTTTAATTATTCTTATGTGTCAAAATACCCAAACGAAATAATGCGGGTACTCTTAATTAAGAGATCACCTATGTTAGAAAGAAGTGGGATAGCTTCAAAGAAGAATTATAAAGGTTAATTCGTTTGAAACTCACACAGAATCAGGCAATATTCATGGCCAAAATGAACATAACTATGAGAACTGAGTTAATTTAGGAAGACTCCTGTGTAGAGTATGTTGTTCACACAAATGGCAGTATAATTTAAGGACATCATGTCTACTGATCAACTAGTAAAGTAAACAAATTGCATAAGGGAAGCTTCAAGGAATAACATCTACCAATCCTATGCAGATTTTGACCATTGAATTCTATTACCTTCTCCATATATCTATCGTTGTTGTTAATTTTATTCATATGAGGAATTGTTGGAAAAAAATGAAATAAATGGTGAATGAGAAATTGTAACAACAAACTTTTGGTTTCAATTCTCTTGTTAATTTTGTATTGAATTGATAGTTATAGACCTTTAATAGCTATTGTAACATATTTTGGTGTCAATACAAAATTAATAAGAAATATTGAAACTCCCTAATCCAAGTGTTATATAAGGAGTTGTTCTCCTCTTTATTCCATACACCAAAAATTTGAGGGTTCTTTCATCTCTCTAAATATCTCTCTTCTATCTTTATTTTCAAGAGTCTTGTCATTAGTGACTAGAGTTTTTTTGTCCTAACTCAGTGATTGAAGTGTGAGTATTCTTAATTAGCATGAAGCAGTGACGATGTGCTAGTCATCAGCCTTTAATCGTTGCATCCAAAGAGATAGACGTTATTTGTACTCTTGTACTAAGTGGGTGACGAATCTATTTTAAGGAAATTATGTTCAACACAGGCCTCGTTTTTTTGTAATACCGCTACTACATCAACGGCCATATTTTCTCACTTTTATTGTTACCCTATTTATTGTAATTTTTTTCCATTATTTTATTTATATAATTTCAACAGTATATCTAATTTTTCTTTTCTTTTCTTTTTGTATTTTTCCTAACAAAGTGATTACCGCGTATGTTTCTTTTACATCCTTCAAATCCTCTCTTTCAGCTTTGAATTCAGTTCCTATTCCCCAGTTTCATTTATGGTCAAACAATTGGATTCTTGAATTTGAGAACCCCAGTTGTTTTCCTTTTTCCTTGTAGAAATAACAATATATTCTAGATAAAAAAGATTTGGTTATTTGGTTTTCAATTAATTTAGTGATGAAGTGGCAATTAACTCCATGCGACGTCTATCATCATCCATTAGCTTTAACGTACACATCATCTACTTTTATTCTAATGTGTCACTAATAGAGTGATCTAATTGCTGAAAATTAAAGTTCATCAATCTCCTTGCATGTGTGGTGAAAGTTTAGTGACCTCCAGTACAATTAACCAATTAGTTTGCCCGTAATGCTTATACATGTTTATTTTTTTTTCTTTTTTTGTCTTTCAGTAAATAATACATTAGTTGTTGTTTATTTATTTATTTGAATAATGCCCATTTTTATTCAACTAAGTATTCAATGAAGAGCCATCAACTGCCTTGTGAAAATGAAAGTAGCTACAAGATCAAAGCTTTATTCTTGGATCATGGTGATAAATGTATAGGCTATTGATAAGTGCAATTTGTGCACTTATTTAGATCACATTATTAAACTTTTAAGTCATCAAATTATTAACTTATATTTAACTTAGGGTTAATTTTCATTTTGTTTTTAGTGATTGACTCGTTTGAAGCACTTGGAGAAGAAAGAAGGATGAAATTGAATGAAATTTGCAATATTGGAGATCAAATTCAACACTTGGAAAATTGAAGAGGACATTGATTGCACAATTGAGTAACTCAAGGACTACATTGCATTAACTTAAAAGAGAGGAGGGCTTGAAGAAAAGTGTAAAGTAATTGGGCCTCAAATGGGATTCAAGAATCAAATTATATAAGAGGAAATCAGCCCAGTACGGCCTGTAAGAAACCAAATTGAATAATACATTTTAAACTAATTAAATAAGTTAGACGTAATTAATATGTCTAAAATCTCCCAAAACGTTAAGAGAGAGAACTGATTGGTGTTTCTTCAACTTTTCCTATTTTCATTATCTTAATCGATAGAAACTGAGAAAAGAACATTACATGGCGGTGCCACCATCGTGTAGCTCATACCAGTGAGTCTCTACACCTTCACTGGCCGGTCGGACTTTCTCACAAATCTATGGCATCTCCACCATCCATCAGTCTGTGGCAACAATTGACAATGGCGAATTCCAATTTCAGTTCCTCTTTCGCTGCCGTGGGGTCAAACGCTTTGGATTCTTCCATGTCTCTTTTA